CAAGCGCCGTCACGCGGGCCTCACCCGCCGCGCGCGGCCAATGGCGAGCGCCGCCCCGCCCTGCGCGCGGAACCACGCCCCCTCACCCCCAACCTCGAGACCAATGGCAAGCCCCTCTGGGGCCGGGCCCCGCCTCCCCGCCCCCAACCAATGGAGCGCACCGCCCTACCCCTGGAGACCCCGCCCCTCGGCGCGCGGCCAATGGCGGGCGCGCACCATTGCTCCGCTCCCACCTGGGGAAGGGGCGGGACAGGACCACGTGTCGCGCGCCGGCCCCTCCAGGAATCTCGCTGGGCTTCCGCAAGGCAGTCACTCGGTGACGCAGGGAAGACAGTGCAGAGATGTTTAATAACAATAAAAACGTCTGCTTGAGAGCCAAGGCTCAAAACCACTCCTTTGCAGCATATTCAATACGGAAAAAGGCTTCTATAAAGTTAAGAAGTAGTAGAAATAGGGTTGAGGCCCCTGAGACTAGCCTGGTGAACGAGGTAAGGCAGCGTGCGCTTCCCCTTGGCCAACCAGGTGTGAAATAACCCGAGTTCTGTTCTCACTGAGAGCATGGCTGCCACCTCTTCATGAAGAGGCTGCACGGGTGAGGTGTCCTCCACCCTCAGGCCCATGCGGGGGCAACCGCAGCAGTGCAAGGGGGCTTCCCACAAGGACAGACGGCTGGCTACACGTGTCAGGGTGAAAATGTCACCCCGAGAAATCTCAGGTGCAGTCCTAGCCTTCACCGTGCCACGTGCCCCTGAGTAAGTTCCGGCCATTTGCAAAGTGCCATCATTGTTCCCGGTCAAGCACCAGATTACGTTGCTTTCTTCCTTTTTGTGCGCTTGGTGCAGCCCCTGCCAAACCAGCCGCCCAGGACAGGGGCGGAGCTCGGAGGGGTGCCCCGGTCACAGGCTCCAGGCTCCTCTCGGCTTCTGCACAGCAACTTGCGACTGTGGCTGCCTTCCTCACCTGCACGCAGGGGAGTTGCCAGGGAGAAGATGGGGTCCTGCCACCTACAGAAATGGAAGGCTGGGTCAGGTGTGCCTGGGAGCCCCTCACAACCACACCCGCCCCAGGACGGGAAAGCTGACTGAGGTCACCCTGCTTCCCTCCCACATCTTAACCATGGCCAGGCTTTGCTCAGTGGCACTTCCGGATCATCCACGAGGGGTAAGCTCCCTGAGTGACTCAAAGGCCAGCACCCAGACTAGCTCAGCCTCTGCAGAACTCGGTGTCCTCGCTGGTGACTGAAGGGGCTGTGTCCACACAGGGTGGGGTGGCAGTAGCCCCAGGAGGGAGGAGTCACTAGCCAGCTCTGGGCCCCACCTTTCACTTGTACGGCCAGGGGCAAGTGGACCAGACCCTCTCCCCGTTCCCAGACTGCAAGACTTGATGGGAGGGAAGCTGACTAGGGAGGTGCGGCCTCGGCACTACGCCATGAAGAGGTCATGTGTCTGACTGAGATGTAGAACCACATATTATAAACTTAAGATACAGGTAAGCACTGATCAAAAAAAAAATGAGCTAAGTTAATGTAAAATGAAAAAGAAAAAGGTACAGTACACAATAGGCCCACATTACAGAACACCACAAACATAACATACAAGAATTGCCAGGCCCAGAAGGTGAAGGGATCCTTAATTCTTGAACCCTTTGATTAAAAGAAGTTATTGATTTCCCCTATAAGACCCTGAAAATTCACAGAGAAAGAAAGTGTAAACTTTTTACTCAATACACACACCACGTCTAAATTATCACACATTCTGCATTAAGGCACAGTTTAAGCTTCCCCAAAGTACACCAGCTCCCACACCAAGAGCACCAAGTCCTGCTTGAACTGAGTTGCCGAGAGCACGTCTCTTCAAGGCACCTTCCCACCCCAGCTGTCTGGGGTGAAGGGGGACATCCCGGCACACGCTGGCAGATTCCCTCTCCCAACAGGGAGACACACCAACTAGGGCACCTAGGCCAATACTGGGCCAGTCCCTGCTGAGGCCACCATGCTGCAGTCACGCCTCAGACGCCATCTGCGACAACCCAGAGCTTTCTCGACGCTCAGCTCACAAAGGATGACAGACATGGCCCAAGCGCCTGGGGCGGGAGGGGTGCGCCCACGCCCTCACCTGCTGTAGTGGGGGATGTCCAGACCGAGCTCGTCCATGAGGAGCCGCATGACGTCATCACACTTTCCGTGCAGCTTCAGGGCAGCCCAGTCATCCTTCGGGGTCCACTGGGGACAGAAGGCGAGTGAGGACAGAACCTCACAGCCTCTGCTCAGCAGACCTCCGTGGCGCCTGAGTGTGGGACATAAACGTCCCAGGAACGTCAGGCTCTCCTGTTCTAAGGCCCAGGTCTAAGGAGGCAGCTCTGAGCACCCGAGTTACCTGCAAGTTCACGATGTAGAGCTTGGGCCGCCGGCTGGGGGGCTTGGTCATGCACCAGAGGTGGGGATACTTCTTTAGAACCTGGGGAATGGATAGACAGACAGACCACACAGACACCAGGGAACAAGGCTATAGGAAGCTGGTGTCTAAGGCTGAGCTGGCCAGCTGTGGGCAGGCTCACCCCATCCCACATGTACCTTTAAGCTGGAGCCTAAACACAGGATTGTGTCTGCTTTGCTGGCAGCCTGGGTGGCTGCCTCCCAGTTCAGAGGCTGCCCCAGCGTCCCCCTCTCCCCAAAGTGCACGATGGTGTCACGGAGCTGGGCCCCGCACTTGTGGCAGGTTCGGCCTGTCTGGTGGCGGTGCAAGGCGGTGCGCTCCGTCACATCAAACACCCGCACGTACTCCCTGTTGGGTGTGCAGGCCGTGCAGACCTGAGGAGAGGAGGGCGGGTGAGCGGGAGCCGCTGGCCTGCCCGGGTCCCTGAGCCCCCGCGGGACCGCTCACTTCAATGTACATGTTCCCGTGGAGCTCCGACATTGCCGAGCGCGGCAGCCCGCTCCGCAGGTGGAGCCCGTCGCAGTTCTGTGACACCACGTGCTGCACCTGGAAGGGAAGTGGGGCGGGAGGAAGTCAGCAGGAGTTGGGGGGAAAGCAGCACTGTGGAGGGAAGCCACACTGGGCTCAGCCAGACCCACCACCCCCACACCTGGGGCAACTCCAACCCTGTGCAAACCATTGAAGGCAAACCCAGAGCAGAAGGCTGGCCCAGCAGGACTCAGGAGGTGCCAACAACTCAGACACCTGGAGCCCTGGGAGGGCAAGTGTCTGCATGGCCACCCCTCGGCTGGGAAGGGGTTTATGTTTCAGGTCCTTAAAGGCCCAGGAGGATCGACCCCTTCCCCACAGGAGGTGCTTAGCAGAGGGTCTCCAGAGGTTTCCTCCTTGCCTCCCCTGTACCTAGGGGGCTCCTGAGGTCTGTGGGAACAATGTGGATAGGGTGGGGGGGCCCTATCCGTGATGATGCTGCAGAGAGGCTGCCACTTCTCTTGGAGAGGAAGCATGGGAGGATGAGGAGGAGGCTCAAACCAGGAGTCTAAACTACTCTGGGTATTCATCACAGGCTCCACTGGCCGACAGAGGTAGGATGCAGGGGTCACCTGGGCACCAAGGGGGCGCCATGAGTCGGCACCATGGACCCACTGAGTACAACTGGACCTTGGTATCTGGAGGTTCCACACCCTTGGATTCAACCAACAAAGAATCAAAAATATTCTGGGGGGAAAATCCAGAGAGTTCCAAAAAGCAAAACTGATTTGCCACACGCTGGCAGCCATCTGCACAGCCTTTACGTTGTACGGACAGCGGTTTATGCAGCATTTACACTGTGTTCATTAGGTATCAAGAGTGACCTAGAAATGATTTAAAGAATGTGAGCAGGTTATATGCAAACACTATGCCATCTCAGACAAGAGCCTGGAGCATCCTCAGATTCTGGTACCCAAGACGATACAGAAAGGGAACTGACAGCAGCTAGCCACCCTGCGCTCTTACCAGCTTCTGCTCATGTAGGCGGGCGATGCTCATGTGGGTGAGAGTTGGCTCAGCCTCACTGAGGTCGCCAGCACTGCCGGGTGGAAAGGAAGCCAAGGTGAGGGGAGCCGGAGGTCAGGTCTGTGCCGCTCCTGCTCAGCTAGATGGGGAGGCTGGGCCAGGCTGCTTACCTAACACTTCTTCCTTTCTGAAGCAGTGTCCATACGCCATTAGGGCCCCGGTAATCTGGGATGGAGGCTGCCTGCGTGATCAGAGAGAGAAGCGCAGTGAAAAGGCATCACAGTAGGTACTGGCAGAATTCCCAAGACTTTCTCCCAGCACGTTCAAGCCTGGCCCACAGACCGGCCTCAATTCAACCCACATGGAGTGTACCCCTGGGGCTCCTTCTCTCTGCCCGGACCCCGCCCGCCGTGGGAGCCTTTCTAGAATGGAGTTCAACCTGGGCTCTGTGGCCACATCTGTCCTCTACACTGAGGGGGAGGACTTGTCGGGCTCATCTGTGTGTCCCCAGGGCCCAGCCGGCGCTCAGGGGCTAGCAAACAGTGAGCCCACAGGCACTCCTCCCTCCAAGTTTTTACATCCTGATGCTGTGAGTGGCTCCTGTCCTCGTAAAGATAGGCCATCCTTTTCAGATGAGTAAACATTACTGAATTTCCCAAGTACCCAATCCAGGGAAACCAAGCCACCCCGAGAGAAGAAAACAAAAAGGTGCCAGGATCAAGTTGTCTTGTGTTCCCGAAGTTGTGCACAACCTCCCTTCTGGGGAGCTCTCACCTGCTGCTTAAACTCAGAAAAATGCCCACCCTGAACAGTGGTTCTGACTCACATCGAAAAGGGGAACCTCAAACAGTAACACTCAGAGCAAAGTAACGAGCAGCATGTGGTTTTAATAACCACTTACAGTTCTTTGAAAGGCATTATTACTGCTTTTATACAATTTCATGATGGGAATGCACATGTGCCTGTAAGTTAAAGCAATAAACATACCTTACACGTTCTTGCTACTGGGCCTCTTCAGTCATCCCTATTTCGAGTGTCTTACTTCGTAAGTGCCTGTAAAACCTTACTCGTCCTTCAAGGCCCAGATTCAGTGCTACATCCCACAAAAACACCAGCCAGATGGGTTTCCCAGCTCTGTGAGACCACAGAGTGTATTTGTGTTTCTATTCTAATGACCTACCACTGCCAACTTCCCAGTACAGCTGTTTGCTTACATGGCTTCTTACCGTCGCCTACAGGCTTCTCTTGGGACGGAAATCCTCACTCTCTGCCTCTGCTGGGCCTGCACGTAGGTCACACTCAACTCACACCCAGCCATCAGGCAAACAACGTGCTATCCAGGCCATCAAAGCCATGTCATCGTCCACGGCCCAGGTAGCTTCTCCATAAAGCTTCTCCAACCGAAATCATGCCTGCTCCTTACCTGGTGCCCTCCAGTTCATACTGCCTTGTTTTCTACTTCCCTTTCCTCAATATTCAGAACACTCAATGAATGGAGAATCAGAGTTTGGGGCTTAGCTCTGCCCACACAGCCTTGAGACACTGAATTAACCTCCTTAACTTTATTTATTTTTTTTAAATTGAGTTATAGTCGGTTTACAACGTTGTGTCCTTAACTTTAAATCAGGAGGAGACTGTAAGCACTAAACTATTGCCTTCCGTTTTCATCCCTCTTCCTTTCCCTGGGCCTCTAAGTGGGTATTACAGAGTTAGAGCGCTTAAGAACGTTTATTTACTCAGTGAAGTCCTAAATTGAGTCACACCGAGTTTCTGTATGAAAAGAAAGAACCTCCGAGGTACTTTTAAGGTGAGTTCTTTGCGCATTTTAGTGTTGCTCAACAGAGTACCGTGCTCGGTCCTAGACAGCCAGGAGGGGGCGCCCCCGCCAGCCCGCGTCCCGGCAGTCCCGGATTCCCCGGGACCTGGGATCCGACCTGGGGTGCGGCGATCCCCGCCTCGCCTCCCTACCGTGCTGATCCCCGCACCCGTGTAGACGACCAGGTACTTGGCGTTGCGGACGGCGCCGGCCAGCTCCCGGACTTTCCTACGCAGCTCCTCTGGGTCGTCGCACACCTGCCGAGACGCCGAGGACGGCCGTCAGCCGCCCCCGCCCCGCGCCGCCGCGCCCCTGCCCGCCCGCGCCCGGACTCGCCTCCTCTTG